TGCTGAATTGGACTCATTTAAAATTCAGAGCTTTTGTTCTCCAAAAGATATTAAGAGGGTGAAAATTTAAGCTACTCAGTAGAAGGTGCTTGTAATACATATACCTAACTAAGGAAGTTGAAGGCAGTAAAGGGACCTTGCAAAACATCAGTTTGTCAATGACAATATTAAATTAAGAATCCTGGCTTCTTGGAGTTTAATCCAATGTTCTAAACATGACATTAAGTTTACACACACACACACACACACACACACACACACACACACACACACGAGATCAGTAAATACGGTCTCTGTGACCAGGAACAAGAAAACTGAAATCTCTGTGCTCTATTTTCCTTTCATATAAAAGAGAAATAACAATGTTATTGGTATTAAAAATGATGAAAAGAAAATACTGCAGCGATTGATGAATAGCAAGTTTTGAAAAATGTTAGTAGTGGTTATAGTGATAATGATGACGAGGAGGATGTAATCCATGTAATTACTAAATGATAGCTTTACAAACTGCTATGAGAGGCAAATGAAAGTGAGAAAATCATTCCTAATTGCATCAAGCACCACAGACATTTTAGCCAAGCTGTAGAGGATGGATACATTCAAAACCATGGAACCTATTTGGAGAACAAGCAGTGGAATAAAAAGAAGAGGTCATTTAAGAAAAGTCGTGAAGCTCCCTAAGCAATGAAAAATACAAGCTGAAGAACTAAGATGCAGCTATGTCAAGTAGGTCTCCAAATGCCAGGCTAAACTCCAAATGCCAGGCTAAACATAATAAGCTGTATAGCTCTAGTTTCTGTCATTTTTCTTACTAGTTAAACTTTGGTCACAGAATGTGAAAATCAACAGGTGCCAGGCCAACATTCCCATTCTAGCACGTAGTAACAACATTCATTAGAGCAATTCTCTTGAGTTTTGTCATCTTTCTTTACTCAGGTAAATAATTAGCCCTTGAATCAGAGGAGTGTACGTCATAATATGTTTGCTTGAGTTCTCAAAGATAGTCATGCATAAATATGTACTCAGAGAGGTAAAGAAGGAAAAAAATTACACAACATTGAGCAATATGAACACATTCAATATGACTGATAGCCTAGCACGGTAGCAGAATTTCTCTGGTCAGTGAACTCCTTATCTCCCAGGGTAAACAATATTTATTCTGTCAAGAATTGATCATATGAGGCCTCAATATATTTTCTATTATTCTAATTCATGCAAGGAGAGTGATATTATTACTAGACAGCAATGACAATTTCTGGAAATGTGAAGCATAATATTTTTGCACAATATTTACTTACAATTTCTAGGTTTATTCTCACACCAAAGAATACTGTATGTGTATTTTTGTAATTGAGAACACCATTTTACCCAGTCATGTCACAGTTGAAATGGCAGATTTATCACTGGAGACAGACCCCTGTCTCCATGGGTCTTGTTTATCCTCCTTAACTTGCTGTCTACACAAGGCCATTTCCTATCACAAACTTAAGGCCAGTTTCTAACTAGAATTATTTCTTAGTATTGTAGTGATTTAAAAAACAAGATTGTTTGTGGTCCACAGAATACGTTTCTTTAGTGAGATGTTTTTCTAATTGCAGATTAGGATTGGTGAACCGAGATGGAATAGAATAAAAAAGTATCAAGAGTCCTCATATATAATAAGACTTTCTTTCCTTTTTTTTTTTTTTTTTTTTTTTTTTGAGACGGAGTTTCACTCTTGTTACTCAGGCTGGAGTGCAATGGCACGATCTCGGCTCACCACAACCTCTGCCTCCTGGGTTCAGGCAATTCTCCTGCCTCAGCCTCCTGAGTAGCTGGGATTACAGGCACGCACCACCATGCCCAGCTGATTTTTTGTATTTTTAGTAGAGACGGGTTTCACCATGTTGATCAGGATGGTCTCGATCTCTTGACCTCGTGATCCACCCGCCTCGGCCTCCCAAAGTACTGGGATTACAGGAGTGACCCACCACGCCCGGCCAAGACTTTTGTTTCTTAACAACTGTATTTGTCTGTTCACAGCTCTTCATACACTAGGCCATAATACAAAATTTTTACTTTATGTTCACAGTCAAAATGTTTAAAAAGCACTGTTTGGTGAAAAGAACCCAGGCTTTGGCATCAGGCAGGCCTAAATCTAAAGTTATTACTGATGTTACTATTATCTGAAGAGTTTTTGTTACCAAATCCCAGCCAGTTCCCTTCTCCCCACACTGCTTGTGAGACACAAGAAAAAAATCCGTTTTTCATATATTAACCCTACTTATCAGTGGTTATTGGAAGTTTCTTACTAGCAACAAAACTACCATTTAAATAATGATTTGAGACAAAAAGAACCAATACCTTTTCATCTCAAATCAAATCAAATCAGATTCAATCAATAGCTATCCATGCTAAGACTAAACTCCATGAGGGCAGACATCATATTCATTTCCCTAGCACTCTGCCAAAAATTTTTATATAGCAGGGACTTGATGAATATTTGAATATACTAATACTTGAATGAATAAAAGGCCAAATGATGAACCAATGAATAATTCCTCAACCGGAGGCACTGGAGACACAGAAATGAACAAGGCATAAATCTTGATCTTCAGAAATATATGCATTTTTCACTTAATTTATGTTTTCAGCAATTATTTATTTAGTATCTACTATTTCCCAGACACTTTGTTAGGTGCTACAATAAATAAAGCAACTGTATTTGCTCCCCTAAAGTAAAAAGATGTGTAATAATTATACAAAGAGCTATAGAGTTAGAATTATTTTAAAAGCAATGAAGGCTTTTATGAAATCATACAATAGGATGGATTGATCTAGATGCAGAAAGAAGAAAGAATGGCTTCATGAGAAAATAGCATTTAACCTTTTAACCTTAGAAGGTGAAAAGCTTTTTTGTTTTGTTTTGTTTTGTTTTTGGTCCTAGTAAAGGGTAACAAGAGAAATTACCAATGTAGCAAGGAAAGGACCAGATTGAGCAGTGAGGAGAATAAAGACAGAAAGAAGCCAAGTCATGGAGAACCTAAATTTTTTCTGAGTATTTTCAACAATGAGAAACTGGTCAGAGACATTATCAAATTTGCAGCCATAAAGATCCCTTCACCATTCTAAGGGCAGCAGCTTTAAGGAAGAAATAACAATAAATATCGAGAAACTCTTTGAAGGAGGTGCAGAAACCCAGGGGGGAAATGGTGGCATTATCTTAGATGTGACAGTGGAAGCTGAGGAGAAGTGTCCTGGATGGAGGTCGTCTTGTACACGGATCCAAGAAGACGACTTAGTAGCAAAGTGTGGAAGATCCTGCATAGAAAGGGGAAAGGGAAGTAGCAGGGAGAACAATGAGGTCTGGGCTTGAGTGACCTACTGGAGAGAAAAAAAGCTGTAGGGCGAATAAAGACAAAAATATTGTGGCGAAAGATTACAATAGCAGTGCAGGACATATGAGATTTCAGGTATCTGTAAGATATCCAAGTAATGGTGTCAAGAACTAAACACTTCCAAAGCTCCCCTTTGATAAAAACCAAAGTCCTGGGCCGGGCGCGGTGGCTCAGGCCTGTAATCCCAGCGCTTTGGGAGGCCGAGGAGGGTGGATCACGAGGTCAACAGATCGAGACCATCCTGGTCAACATGGTGAAACCCCATCTCTACTAAAAATACAAAAAATTAGCTGGGCATGTTGGCGCGTGCCTGCAATCCCAGCTACTCAGTAGGCTGAGGCAGGAGAATTGCCTGAACCCGGGAGGCGGAGGTTGCGGTGAGCCGAGATCGCGCCGTTGCACTCCAGCCTGGGTAACAAGAGCGAAACTCCGTCTCAAAAAAACAAAGGAAAAAACCAAAGTCCTGACTCTAGCCTGTACTATAGACCCTCACTGCTTCCTTTATTTCATCTCTCATTTTGTCCTCGATCACTTTGCTCAAGCCAGACTGCCCTCCTAGATATTTCTCAAACATGCCAAGACAGCGTCAGCCTCAGAGGCTTTGCGTTTACTATTCTCTCTGTCTGGAATGCACATCCTTGGAATAATTGCACAGTTCAAATCCTCATTTCCTTCATGTTTCTGTTTGATGTCACCTGAAAAGCAAGACCTTCTCTGATCACGCTGAGACATAGCTCCTAAACCCTCCAGCACCCTTATCCTTCCTATCATTTTCTCCATAATATTTATCTGATATATTTTATAATCATTTATTATTTTTTGTCACCTGTCTCCTGCAACAAAAATGCAATGGAATCTCCATGAAGACAGAGATTGGTATTTTTATTTTCTGATTTGTTCCAAGAGATAAATATAGTTCTTGTCATGACTTGGGAAGGATTTCAGATTTCATCCTACTTGGAGGGTATGAAGTTAGCCTGCCACATTACAATGGCTTCTGGCAGAAGGCACAGATTTCTGGCTCAGAGATAAGGGACTTAATTATTCCATAGCAACAGCCAGAGTGTTGGAATTTGTTCTGGTTTCCCAAGCCCCAATTTCCACAGGGCAGTATGAAGAGCATCAAGTGATACTTGAAGAGAAAACACAGTGTGTTAAAGGAAAGCAAGGCTAAGCTCTTAAAAACCAGAAATGTTTTTAAAAGGGCAATTAACATGAGCTTTGCCCTAGCAGGAGATATTAACTTTATTACGCTAAACAATAAACAAACCTGCCTTTTGATGCAGATGGAGAAATTACGTATTTTCTAAGGTTATTTTAAGGGTGCACAAATACCCCTTAAAAAGATAGTCTGAAACAAATGTAATCAGTACCTGTACTTATAAGACACACAAACATGAGAGGGAATGGAGAACTGTCCTCTAAGAACACATGGTAGACACCCAGCACACAGTCTCCAATGAAAGAGTAACCCTTTGAGTTAGATGTTATTATTTCGTTTTCCAGATGAATACACAGAAGCACAGCAAAAGTGGCCCCAACAAGCACCCTCCAGCTCCAGAATACACACTTTAGGGAACTGAGTCCTCTCTCTCTCTTGCTCTCTCTCTCATCTGCCACTCCATCAGCTATTTTAGACTTTGTGAATGGGGGATAGAAAAACAGAGAAAAGAGAAAAAAGAATAAGAAAGGAAGAGTGGAGGAAAGGAAGAAAGAATGGAGAGGGCCTTTTAGCTATCCATACCTCGTCATCTATCCAGAACTACGGAGTAGAAGGGAACTTTGAGATCACCTTAAAGGTGAGAAAACGAGCTTGATAATGGAATGGCATTCCCACAAACATAGAGGGAGTTAGGGATTAAACTAACTAACCACCAGAACCATTTTTCTGACAAAATATTTGTCTTGCATGTTTCAGGCCCCCCTGGGTCCTTTGACCTTTCTTACACAGGTGACATTCCCAGAACCTGGAGGCCAGGCTACGACACAAAGTCAATCAATAACCAGGGAGATCTGTTATATAGTCTGGCAGGTGGGGCCTTGCTGCCATCTGCCATACGACCCTTCCAGTCCCAGGCTTCTGAGGAGACGTGGCAAGTGCTGTGTGGTTTTCACCTGACCTCTGGACGCAGAATTTCAGCCATGAAGGTAACAGGCATCTGTCTTCTCAGTGCTTTGGTCCTGTTGAGTCTATCTGGTAAGTGTTTTTGCATATTTTTCAAAGTTGAATAAAACCTTTCTGAGCTGTTGCTTTGTGGAGCACATTATCTTCTGGGTTTTTCATGCAGTCTGGTCTTTGAGAGATCTTTTGGACCGGGTAAGATGAAATAAGATCAACAGATAAGAATTATTTTTTAAAAGAGATTTTTTAATCTACTATAAGGAAAGCAAGTCTCCTAGTAAGAATTGCCCAGAGGTAAAGTGGGTTTTCTCTAGTGATGTGGCTGACCCTTTGGAGGAATGTGGTAGAGAAAAAAGGGTAAAAATATTTTAAGTATACTTCTAATTATTTAATGTGTAAAGCCAAATTACAAATTTTAAATTCTCATGGAATTGCATAAAACAGGTAAAATGGCTTTCAGTTCTTCAGCATAAAAGGCATGATTTGACTGATTTAAAAATTTCTTTTTGTATTGTATAGGTTTCAGTGTACTGGAATCATGTGTAGTTTGTCAGATTTATCCCTCAATAGCTAATATATGTGATATAAAGGGAATTTTTAAATTTTCTATTTCTGGTATTTCTTTATCAGTATCTGGAAATACAACTGTGGTTTTTGTATTTACATTATATACTATGGTGTTACTAAATTCACCAATTCTAAAATTTTGGTTTTTTGTAGATTCCTTAGGATTTTCTTGCAATGTAAATTATGTTGACTACAAATAAAGTTACATGTTTTATTTTAAAAAATTATTTTGGACCAGCAGAGTGTTTTGAAAGGAAACATTCTGCTTGAATAGATGAGCACATATACCTCCAATTGCAACTGGACAATGTTAACAGACAACTCCGAACCCGCAGAGTCAAGATCAGTTTCCTTTTGATCACTGGAATTTATTAACATTTTCAACTTCACTTCTGATATAGTGAAGGATCCTACAGAGAGCCAAATCAGCACTTTGCTAAGAAAAGGAAGAACGTTGTTTGTTGGATTAGCTGAATATTTATGGTAGCAGTTAGTGTTCCCTTTTCCCCTGCTCATGCGTGTTAATCAATCCAAACAGATGCCTGTGATGAGCACCTACTTGCTCATTAGTTTTTAGACTCAACTAGATTCTAAAAGCCAGTAGGCCCCCAGCAACAAGTTCTGACTATCCCAGGGGAACTTCACCCAGATCATAGATGCCTCACTAAATTTCATTACATTTAGATACAGAGAACTACCTCTTCACCCAGATCACCTTAAAGATTGTCGATATTAAAATTCAATTTTACCAATATTTCCTCATTTGGATACTATCAGATTAGTACCCCTTCCCGTCCATGAACTCATCCATAGTTATCATTCCCTACATGTTGTCAGCAAAACTTCTGTTATTTTCTGGGTAATGCAGATGAACTATTTTGACTGCCTGTAAACTCTACAAATGTGAGTTGGACCCATAGTCCATATGATACAACTGTTGGAAATAGCTCTTTGAGAACTTATGGTGAGTTGGCAAAAGAATTCTATTTTTTTAACATTACTTACAAAAGGGGATTTAACTGTAATTGAAAAAGCTAATTTTGCATCAGAAGACCTGGTTACTGCTTGTGATAACTGTTTCACAGCTAATTATAAAAACTCTCCATACTTACAGCTGTAAACTGAGATAAAAATTATACTTCACTAGTTGCAAGATTAAAGATCTAGTAACTGATTTTGTGAACGTTAGTGAGTGTTCAAAAGTTAATTTGCTCAGTGCCTGATACACTTCCAGCAGTAAGTACATAATTTCTATTTTCAAGGAAATTGATCAACTTCCTAAAACATCAAATCGAGATACTTTACTTTGGTCATAATCAAAGTTTTACTTAATTCTTTTAAGGTTTCGTCAGACGAGGGGTGCAGGATACTTTGGGAAAATTATAGAATACAGAAAGGGAAGAGAGCCTGTAAAGAAGCCACAGTCTACAATGAAAGCAGAGAATTCTGACAAAGAATAGATCTGACTTCTCTCATTTAGGAGCCAACTTAACAGATCTGATTTATTTCTAGGTAACACCGGAGCTGAACCCGAGGGAAGAAAGGTAAAGAGAAATTTGTAATTTCTTATTTCTCAGGCTGAAACAGTTTGATGCAATAAAAACGCAGCCTGCCTGCCACCTTTCAACTTAGCTTGAAGTTAACAGTAGTATGAATGCCAGGGAGGGTTAACCAGTGAAATGCAAACGGTAGTAGTAGTTCTACCCCACAGGCTTATATTGAAGGACAACTTCACCGATGCATAAGCAAGTGCTATAAAATACTGTAGTGCTTACTGTGACAGGGTTTTTTATATAGACTAGTGGTAGCTGTAGGCAAGTATTTGGGGTGGAAGCCTTCTCAAGCTCACTCCAAGTAGCTCTGCTTCCTTACAGCCAGTTTGACCATGTTGGCATGCAGCTCTCCCAATCACCAAGGTGCAGCTCTAATTTATAATGAACAACAGAAAATAATAAACTAGCTTCTCCTTCTAGAAAAATATTCTAATTCTAACCGTTTCAATTGTTTTTTGTTTAAAAGGTAATTTCGGTAATCTTGGAAACCAGAGGAAAAAGTGTGCGTCTTCTCAGTTTCTATCTAGTGGGAGACAGCTGATAGATCAAACATTCATGAATGAATACATTATTAAACTTGTGATAAGTGTTATGAAAAAGTTCTGCTGCCATTACGAACTTAGCCTAGTTAGAGAGTTCAGAGAGTAAGATCAGGTCACTTACTCCTAAGTAAGTGAAGGGTCATTTTTAGCCTAAATAAATAAATAAAACGAGTCTTAGCAAAACGTAAGTGGTGGGGAGACGTAGTAGAATGAAATAGTTAAGAGCTAAAGGTCAGAAACTCTAATGTCTCGGTTTGAATTCTGAACCTAGGAATTCCTTAGCCGCATGGCCTTGGCTGATTTTACTGCTTTGTGCCCGGTTATCTTCACCTGAAGAAGAATGTAATACTTAGTTCACAGGATAGTTAGGAGGTTTAAACAGAAAAATACACAAAGACACTAGGACGATGTTTAGGACAGTGACAAACAGTCCTATTTGATGATCATAAACTCTTACTAGAGCAGAATGCAAAGACTTCCAACACTGGAAGGTGCCCAGTGCCTTTAAGTGCCTAAGAGAAGACCAGTGTGTGTGGACTACAGTGTTCAAGGAAGAACATGCCCCGAGGTGCGGCCAACCTGAGAGATGCCAGCACTGGCAGTAATTGTAAAACTTGAACATTTTCTCGCCCATCTTGCGTAAACCTCACAACAGCACTATGAGATAGTGATTTTGCAGAAGAACCGACTGAGTTTCAGAAGGGCCAAAGGACTTTGTAATGTCACACAGCTTAGAAACAGCAGAGGCATGACTTAAAACAAGGTTTTCTGTCTCCAGATCTTAGGTTATTTCTGTTACCACACACATTATCATTCTCCCAATCACAGTCATGCCCCAGAGAAATTAAAATCATTTCAGAGATTCTGCTATAAACTCAAGAATGGAGAATGATGGGAAATGATTCTGTTTAATTCAATTTTTAGCCCAACTGTTACAATACAGTTAATGGATGCACCAAGATATTCAACCCTGTCTGTGGGACTAATGGAGTTACTTACGGCAATGAATGCATGTTATGTCTTGAAAATCAGTGAGTACAAACTTGAGTTTCTTTTAAACTATATATTTTAAGTTAGTTATCTTCAGATATACTGACAATATGAATCCCACCCTAAGAGAAGCAAAATATTTTCTTTTTTCAAAAATAATTATCTCTTTTTCTCCTTGTTATATATTTAGCATTATAATATTATTTTTTAAAAGTCACTTGTATGATAAAAGCCTACTTTCTTATTAAAGCAAAATAGTCAATAGCTTGGATTTTTATAAATCTTATATACATAAAATACCTTTAGGCCGGGCGCGGTGGCTCAAGCCTGTAATCCCAGCACTTTGGGAGGCCGAGGTGGGTGGATCACAAGGTCGAGAGATCGAGACCATCCTGGTCAACATGGTGAAACCCCGTCTCTACTAAAAATACAAAAAGTTAGCTGGGCGTGGTGGTGCATGCCTGTAATCCCAGCTACTCAGGAGGCTGACGTAGGAGAATTGCCTGAACCCAGGAGCTGGAGGTTGCGGTGAGCCGAGATCGTGCCATTGCACTCCAGCCTGGGTAACAAGAGCGAAACTCCGTCTCAAAAAAAAAAAAAAAAAAAACAAAAAAAAAATACCTTTAATTAAAAAAAAATTAATGGTTGCAGTGATTGTGTTTTTTAAAGCCCTCAGTCATGTAAATATAAATTATATCAATTAGACAACTAAAAACGTGTTTTTACTCATGCATATGAAAGACAGCTTCAATGAATCTTTATTTCCTCAGTGTCCATAAGTAGGCAATGGGATACAGAGAAACAGATTCGACACAGATTTCCTATTTCACTCAGCAACTGAACCGTTAGCATGTCTCAAGCATTATGCTAATATTCCCTGTCTTACTTGTGCTTATGACTAAGAAAACGTCATAAGCACATACAGGATGGCTTCTTATATCTTGGGGCGAATGCCAGAAGACTTGGTGTAAATAAAGTGCAACAGGAGTGAAGCAGAAATACATAGTTTTTGTTATTGAAAGGGATCAAGAAAAGATCCAGGAAAATAATAAATGCCCACTGGGTGTTGTGGTTCACACCTGTAATCCCAGCATTTTGGGAGGCTGAGAAGGGAGGATCACCTGAGGCCAGAAGTTTGAGACCAGCCTGGCCAACATGGAGAAACCCTATCTCTACTAGTACAAAATTAGCCAGGTAGGGTGGTGGGCACCTGTAATCCCAGCTACTCGGGAGGCTGAGGCAGAGAATTACTTGAACCCGGGAGGTGGAGGTGGCAGTGAGCCAAGATTGCACCACTGCTCTACGGCTTGGGTGACAAGAGAGAGATTCCATTTTTTTTTTTTTTTTTTAAAGAATGCTATTTAAATAGAGCTCTGAATTTTGGCAGTATCAAAAAGGCATGCTGGGTTAAATAAAGGTGTGGAATGAACATAACAAATATAAGGGATTCCACAAGTGACTAGTTTTTTCTGGGATTGACTTGATATTGAAGACTTTGACTCAGGCTCAAATGACTGTGTAAATTTCCATTATATTCCGCAGCATAAATTTCCTTTCCTATAATGCAAACCTTCTTCTTGGGCTGTTTTAAACCATTTCAGAAAATTCTCAGAGTTTAGCAAGTATTGTGGAAATAGGTCCCCTGGATGATAGGGCTAATATTCTGAAGTTTTAGACCAAAAACATTTGGTATTCTACTTTGTAATGAATGTGTTTCCATAATCAAGACTTGTAAAAGGAATTTGAAGCCATTTGTTAGTTTTCTCATGTCCCATGTTCTTGACATTAACGTCAAACATCATATTTCCATCCAATGGGAAGAGAAAGCAAGAGAACAGTAGCTTTGAGACTTGGGAAATTTCCAAATGCCACTCAACATTTAGAGTGAAACATTAGAAAACTATGAGTAGAGGGCTGGGACACCCTATCCACGCAGTCTCTGAAACGTACGAGTTTCTACTTACACTTTCTGTTTGTTGAAAAATATGTAAATATGTGAGGAACATTTGTACACTAGAAAACATCACCTCTCTTCCTATGTTTTCAGGTAAGAAAATTTAGGTCTAGAGGCAAAAAGTTGCTTTCTCAAAAACATATTTCCTAATGTATGACATTGTCTTTTATTTCTGTTAATTAAAAGTCCCAAACTTATTACACAGTAAATAAAGCCAGACGCTGACCCTAGTTTGAGACAAGTACATAATACCAAACAAAGGCTTGCAAATCAGTCTTCTTGGTCCTTATGTGCTTGGCAAATATATTCAATAGAGACATTTTCTCATCCTTCTATATCTTTGTAGGGAATCTGTACTGGCAAATTCTTTTCCATAAACCAGCATTTCTGATAGAATGTTCGTTCTATAATGATGGAAATGTTCTATGTTTATGCTGTCTAATACATAGCCACTAGCCACAAAACAGTGGCCTTAAGGTGGTTAACACTAATGTAAATGTGGCTAGTACAACTGCTAAACTGAATATTTAATATTACCTAAACTAATTTAAATTTAAATAGCTATATGTTGATAGTGAATGTATGCAATCACAGTTAAAAGCATAGCACTTTTTTTTTGTTTGTTTACTCTGTTTGGGTGTGTGTGCTTATGTATGCTAACTGATGTGGAAATCGGTATTATGAGCAGTTAATAATTGTGGGACAAGAAAGTGTTAAAAACTTAAAATAAGTTCGGCTGGCCATGGTGGCTCATGCTTGCAATCTCAGCACTTTGGAAGGCCCAGGCTGGCAAATTACTTGAGGTCAGGAGTTTGAGACTAGCCTGGCCAACATGGTAAAACCTGATCTCTACTGAAAATACAAAAAATTAGCTGGGTGTGGTGGCATGCACATGTAATCCCAGCTACTGGGAAGGCTAAGGCAGGAGAATCACTTGAATTAGGGAGGCGGAGTCTTCAGTAAGCCAAGATCACACACTGCACTCCAGCCCAGGGAACAGAGAAAGATTTTGTCAAAAAAAAAAAAAAAAAAAAAAAAAGAAAAAGGGCAGTTAACAAGGTCCAGATAAATGCCTGTTTAAAAGTATGTCGAAGTCAGATGTCCTTCAGTAATAGAGAAGTAGAATTTTTGTAAGCCAATATATTCAAAGAAAATTGGTTAGAAATTAAAGACCTGGAAACAGTCTTCTAAGGAGCAATTATAAAATTTAGAGATATTTAGCTTAGAGAAAACTGGTTTGGAATGGTAGTGTGGGGCAAACAGAGAGGTTTTATCTGGAGGGGAGGATGTTTAGATCTGGCAAGAATGGTGTAGAATAAAGACATGATTTAGTTTTGCGAGATCTCACAGATATGAATCCCCAGAGCTCTAAGACAAAACATCAATCAATTAGGAGGCTCAACAACAGCCCAGGCATCAGCTTGGATAGAAACCTGTTGCCGAAGGCAGAGGCATCAAGAGCAAAAAATGCAACAATTGATTGGAGGTTAATTTCACTGTAGCATGCCACTAGATATATAAAAACTGCAAGGACAGATATTTTTCCTTTCTATTGTATCCTTAGTGTATATAACAGTAATCAATAAATATTTGATGAATTAATGAGTAAGTGAATGGATAAATGAATGAAAGATAGATAAAAAAATTATAAATCTCAAACCTCTCTACTTTAAATGAAGCTTTTTTCCCCCACTCTTTTTCTTTTTTGTCAGTAAAGCTTAACTGATTTTTTTTTTTTAATCTCTACTGCAGGAGGCGCCAGGTTCCTGTCTACATTAAAAAATCTGGAGTTTGCTGAGAACAAAGGTTTTGAAATCTCCTCAGGTCACTGCGAGGCCTGGCTGGCCTGATTGTTAAATAAATGCATCTAAATAATCCCTGTTGTTTCCATTTACTTTTTCTTCAAAGGTATGTTTGATTATACCAGGGTCAGGGGGTGTGGGCAAGACTCAGAATAGACCAAGTTTTAAAAACGCCAGCAATCCCGTCATTTCAGACAGGGTTTCCCTCACAATTCCTTTTCCTTCCTCATCTTTCTCACATCCTAAAGTCACTGTCTCAGAAAATGTAATTGCACATATTAAATGGCAGAGTGCAGATGATTATGAACACAAGCAATTCTGCAGAGGACTGGACTACCATTTTAAGGAATAATTGGAAAATACCCAGTCCAGAAACATACTACCCGTCACAGTTTCCTGATTGAAATAACTCCTTAAGGTTTCCTTGGGATTTGATTGAGCATCTATTGTGCCTGGTACAGGGCTATGTGCATGGGCATAGAGCTGCCTGTCTGGTGAAACAGAGTTTAGCCTTTGAGATTTTTCCATTTACCTTAAAATGTAGATTTTGAGTCAGACATAATTGTCTCAAAAAGATTTTAATCATTGAGGAAACAAAAACAAAAAAAACCCTACATTTTGTCAACAAGGCTGTGGAGCAGCTTCTGGACTTAGCCTTAGTCCTTCTCCAGCAGAGATAGTTTCCCATTAGTTACCAACTTGAATAGTGTAAAGCAGAGCCTGCGGTTGTCCCTGGTAACCTGAGGCTTGAATGGAAGACTTTAACTTAGGCTTTCCTGGAAGACCTGCTTCATAGGGCCTGATGGGTTTGTGCTGTGCTAACCCGACGCGGGTAGTTGGGGAGGCTTGATTCTGGATTAACTTTTGGCATGGCCTCTTCTACTATCAAACCATTCCCAAAAGATAATCTGACAAGGAAAAAAAGTGACTATAGATCAGATGAAATGATCGTTGAGACCTTTGTGCAGTGCACTTTGGTTTATCTGTGAGTCACAACAACCCTGTAAGATTATCCTTATCTTATGAGGAAACTTAGAAATAAGTGAAATCACCTGTTTAATATTGCTAGCAAACAAAGCCCCAGACTTAGGCTTTTATTATAATACAGGACTGACTTCAAGTCCAGTGCTGCTTCTGTTAGGCTACAGTCACCTCACATGAGTTACAAATTGCCTATTTCTTTTATAGGAACTTTCGATAACATCTTCCTATTAAAAAGGAATATGTGTTTATATTCAGGGACAGCAAATAAGATAAAACTAAAGAATTGCCCCCAAAAGAAAGAAAAGTATCTAGAGCTACTAAAAAAGAAGAACAAGGAGGAAGAGGAGAAAAGGCAAAGGAGGAGGAGAAGGAAGGAGAAGGAGGAGGAGGAGGGAGAGGAGAAAGAAGAAGAAAAAACAGCTTGAATTCCCAAACTCATGAAGAATTAGCCTAGAATGGAAAACTGAGTAGAGAGCTAACAGAGCTTGCAATGCAGCAGGTTTTCTAATTTATAGCAGGGAATAGATCACCCGCTGAACCAGAAATAACCGATCAAAAGCTATTCCACACTTGCCAAACACAATTGCCTGACACTCTTAAGGTTTAGGTTAATTTCTTGGGATATTCAGAATATACACGTCTTGCGGGTTAAATCTGACCACTAGAGGATGCTGTAGTCTGCCAAGTGCTTCAGCCAAACCCCCTTCTAACAGCTCTCATTAAATATCGTGCTAACAGCAGTTACGGATGCAAGATGGCTTCCAACACCTTGTCTGTGATGCTAGAGGACACTAGAAGAACATCCCTAATATTAGGGAACTTTGCTATGGTAACAGAATTTAAATAATTGAATGCTCCAAATTTTCATGTCCAATTGAACGAGTCTGCAAGTCTGGAGAGACAAGGCTTGGAGATTACAGCAGAAGCAACGCATTAACCCAAATTGTCGTCTTTAATGGTTCTCTTCTCTCTCTCACCCATCAGAAAGCATGTAGATGGCTATTTCCTGTATTGTTGTGGATTAGGCCATTCTTCCATTGCTCTAAAGAAATACCTGTGGCCAGGCATGGTGGCTCACACCTGTAATCCTAGCACTTTAGGATGCCAGGGCAGGTGGGTAACCTGAGGTTAGGAGTCTGAAACTAGCTTGGCCAACATGGTGCAAACGCGTCTCTACTAAAAATAGAAAAATGGCCAGGACTGGTGGCAGGTGCCTGTAATCCCAGCTACTTGGGAGGCTGAGACAGGAGAATCACTTGGACCTGGGATGTGGAGGTTACAGTGGGAAGAGATGGTACCATTGCAATCCTGCTTGGGCGACAAGAGTAAAACTCCGTCTAAAAAAAAAAAAAAAAAAAAAAAAAAGAAAGAAAGAAAGAAAGAAAGCAAGAAAGAAAGGTAAGTACCTGGGAGTAGTTTATAAAGAAAAGAGGTTTAATTGGCTCACGGTTCTACAAGCTATACAGGAAGCAAAATGCTGGCATCTACTCAACTTCTAGGGAAGGCGAGGAGGGAGCAGTCAGATCGCATAGGCTGAGCAAGAGCCGGATAGAGGGGAGGTGCTACACACTTTCAAACAACCAGATCTCATGAGGACTCACTCACTACTGAGACGGCCAAGTAAAAAGGGCTTCCTGGAGAACCTCCCACCAGCCTGCACTGGGAGAATGGGGTGGAGCCACGGAAGTTCGCACCTTTTGCAGAGGTGAGGAGCCCGGCCTCTTAAGTTTCTCTGTGGTGGGGTGTAAGCCGGTTAACAGGCTTCCTTCTCACTGTTTTCAGTTTTCAGAAAAACTATAAGTTTTTCCTTTTTTCCTTTTTTGCCCCCAAAATTCCGTTTTTTTCTCACCTTCTATGTGTCCATGAGCCTACTCTTTCCTGTTGTGTGACAAGAACCCGGTTTTTAGAAAAACTGAGAAAATCCTGCAACACTATCACAAGAACAGCACCAAAGGGATTGTGCTAAACCATTCATGAGAAATCCACCCCCATGTTGTGCTAAACCATTCATGAGAAATCCACCCCCATGATCCAATTACCTCCCACCAGGACCCACCTCCAACACTAGGGATTTTGACATGAGATTTGGGTGGGGACACAGAGCCAAACCATATCAGGTAGCTGTGTTTTAAAAGAGATGATTTTAAAACCAGAATATGTTTAGAGGAGGGAAACTACCAATATTGATAAGAATTTGAAACTTTGCTCCATGATGAGTGGTTGGAAGGAGTAGGAAAATTTGGGCTAAGGAAAGGAAAATCCTTAGAACTTTATGGGTCTTTTCAGGATTAAAATGTTAACACGATGAAAGCAGAAATTTTATCCTTTTTTTCACTGCTGCATTAAAGGCTCAAAGACAGTATCAAACACCTAGGAGGTAATTAATATTCTTTTTGCTACATAAATGAATAGGAACAAAGAATGAACATGATCTGGTTGGCCTCAAAGGGTAGAATTTAGACTAATTGGGTAGAGATTAAAGAGATACTGATTTTCGTTGAGTGGAAAAATGTGCACTATAATGACTAAGATCAGGGGCTCTGATTTAGAGAGGCTGAGTTTGATTCTGCCTCTGCTTCCATCTAGCCCCGTGTCCCAGGAGAAGTTGGAGAATTTCTCAAAGTTTCAGTTTCCTCATCTCCAATAGGGGTTAATAATAACAATTCCCTCACAGAGCAATTGGCACAATGCCTGCTATGTGCTATATGCTCAAGAATAATTATTGTTATTGTTATTATTATTTATCTTGTCATCTTTGGGCTTACAAAAAATGGTGACTGATTGTCTCCTGGTACATAAACATTTCTAAGATAAAAACTTTACTTCTTCGGGTAATAATTTGTTGCATTTTTGAATTGTCAGGGATTTTATGGAAGACAGTTCTTTACTGGGTACAAGATTGGACTAAAATGTCTCCACTTTTAATTGTAAAAAATTCCAGAATTATAAATCATGCCCGCAAAATAGAAATTTAAGAGTAATGGCTGAAGACAAATTTTGTGGATTAAGAAGGGTTTTGTAGCCCTGGGAGGGAATAGGGTAATAAATCCAGCTCACACTATTAGGTCCACATCCTTGGATGAATAAAATAACTGCAATCCTCATTAAATACAGGACCACAAAACTGCAAGTGAACTCTAAGAGGACATAGTCACAGGGCCAATGTATTTTTGTACGCTTTCCTCTATTGGCTTCAGAACATTTGAAATATGAAGCTATCTGATGAGAACAGTGTGTCAAAAACAAAAAAAAGAATTGTCCCATTGGAGAAGTAAATGTGTCTGAAATTAAACATTTAAAAAAATAATTTATGCTGAGCCTCCTGAAAAATAAGAACTTGAAAGATATTGTCCCTTTATTTTCATTTCTCTGACCCAATTTATTCCTTAAAAGCCTTAGTTTATTCCAGCTATGTATAAATACAATTTATTTGCATAATAAGAAACACAATTAAATTTAAAAACATGCAAAGCTTTTACTTTTCCCAGTCCTACCACTGCCAACAATTTTGGGTTTTTTTACCCTCATAACCCAGTGCAGAGAGATGCTTTGTTTTCTTTCATTGTTTAAACAAAAGCTAACTTTTAGCTAAAAGTATGGAATACGTATATAATAAAATGATATTTGCAAAAAAGGAATCATATAGACCTCTTGCTTTTAAACAAATCCAAAGTCACTAAAAAGCAAAGACACAGTCAAAACAAGCAAAATAGACTGGTTGGAGATCAAGTCAAAACCTTCTTACGTGGTTAGGATGCTATTTGTGGCTAGGTGTCTTTTAGATGTGTTCAAAAGAAATAAAATGGAGGCTACAATTTAGATACCCCATGGTCAACTGTCCACAGCCATGTAACGAAAATGTACATTATCCTGATTTCCCTGAAATACTAACCTTGAACATAAACAAAGCATGGGCATTAGCATTTTGTCCTTTTTAGCATGGTTCGATGAAATTAAACCAGTAGCTACAGATAAATCAGCTTGAACAGGCTCTGTTGCCTTAAAAACAAATATATGACAGCTTCAAAGTTATGAAGAAGGCCAGAATACTTCCTCCTTCAGGCCCTATAAATTGTGCTGTAACTGCTGTA